AACCACGGGTGAAAAAGGGACATTTACGAGAATTAGGGGAAAGGGGCACTTATCGAAGAAAAAAAAATTAGGACACTTATCACGAAATAAGGGGCACTTAATAGAAAGGGAAATGGGTACAAAATAGGAGGGGAAGGGGCACTTATCACAAAGGGAAAAAAGGGGGCATTTTCAAGGTAAAAAGGGGCACTTTGGGGGGTACCAAAACAGTGGGGGTAGTACGTGCACCCTAACCCCCTTCCTGGAGCGCTGCCTCTGATTAGTTGTCAATTTCTTCCATAAAAGTATATGTGAAATTTTCTCACAGGAAAATTGTATGGCTTACTAATGGGGGGGGGGGGGGGCTTTCATCATAAGTGCTCGTAATTCATAGCAACTCAAGAGCAGTTTGTTTCAATAATTTCGCCCAAAGCTCGCTTGCTACGCATTTAGGGTTGATATAATTATGTTTCTTATTAAATATATTTTCAGTCTGTCATGTCCAGATTGTGCTCAAAACCCCATCAGAATTGTGTTTTTTCCCAATCTTTCTAAGATGTATTTTTTCCACACTGCGTACTCACAAATCTTAAACTTTTTTGCTCGCTCGCAAATTGGTCTGCCCATCAGGCGCGGATCCAGGATTTCTTAGGGGAGGGGGCCCAACTTTTTTTTTTTTTTTTTTGCGCCCGAAAATTTGAAAATCGCGCCGGCCGAAAAGTCGCTCAGGGGGGGGGGGGGGGGGGGGGGGGGGGGGGGGGGGGGTAAGCGGACATTTTTTTTTTTTTTTTTTTTTGGATTCCCAAAAAAAAATCACAACGACTAAGCCAGCTGAAAAGTCGCTCAGTGGGGGGGGGGGGGGGGGGGGGGGGGGGTAGTAAGCACAATTTTTTTTTTTTGGTCCTCGAAAATTTTAAAATTTGCACCCCCCCCCCCCCTTGAACGCCAGGGGGGGGGGCCCAACCCCCAAAAAGGTAAAAATCGCGTGATTTTGCATGATTTTTTTCTCAAGGGGGGGGGGGGGAGCCCGGGCCCCCCGCGGCCCCCCCCCCCCCCTGGATCCGCCACTGCTGCCCATCACACCCAACTGCAATGTATGGTGCTTAAGCAGTATCTTGGACCATATACAGAGAGAAACAAACATTGAAATAATCCCTGATAAAAAATGCCCATTATGCCGCCTGGTGGTGATGCGGATTTTTTTCTCCCCCCCCCCCCCCCCCCCCCCCCCCCCCCCCCCCCCCCTCAGGTTTTTTTGTAATCTTTACGCCACTGCATGCTCTCAAACACAACTTCACTGATAACATCGTTGCGTTACACGCAGTTTATCTATCCCACAATGCCTTTGCGCTGCCCTCCAACTTCCTCTTACACCTCTAGCCGTTCAAAATGGGTACGATAAAAAAGATTACTCTGAAAATAATCCTAATACATCAGCTGTTTCGTGTAATTATCAGAATTCTAAGTGGGAATGCATACAAATAAAACAATGACTTTACATTTTAGTTAAGTTCTGTTTGAATTCTTCTCTTTGATAACTGAGAAATTTAGTTCAAAATACGTGTGAATGTACCGTAGATGTAAAACACCATATGCGTTAACTACATGTATGTACGTTTCGCATCGTAATTCAATACCGTCCAATTTCTCCGTCGCACAAATCACAAGTTTTATGATACCCTAGGTCTGGAATAGTTCAACCTAGACCTAGACCTATGCTAGTAATAGTCTACTTAATAAATTCAACGAGAAAACACAAGTTACTGCAAATGTGCATTAACTTGACCTCATAGAAAGTAAAAGTGAAAAAATGGAGTAGGCCTAGACCTAAGTTAGACTAGCCTAGAGTCTACTCTGCTAGCGGCTTGCTGATTGTGGTCGCTCATCGGGGAAAAAAAGAGAAGCCTCTTCCAAAATCTAGATCAAGGGCCTACCGCCGCCTAAGTTAGGTCTACTTGGTACTCTTACAACTTACAACGTACAAGGCCCTTTAAAATTGGTCAATAATTTAACAAAAGCTGAACAGAAAGGGCGCTGGTCTGAGAATAAGGATCATCTTCGTAAATGCGGACGGATGCGTCCTTTAAAATAAGGAGCGTCTGCATTCTTAAAGACGTTTCATATTTTTGATCGGCACTTGGGCGATCCAAAAAAAGGATTCTGCGAGGATATTCATTATCCTTGTCGACGCAGACAAAGCGTGCCTTAAAAGTAAAACTACGGATAGAGTCTACATGCGTTGTCGATGCTCAAACTAAGTCTGTGATGAATCTGTTTTTCGCATTGCAAGTGCGCCAAAGAATTTCTTTTTCTCACTAGATCTACTCATGAGGGACCTTAAATCCACAAGCCTTGCTTTCAACCAAGGTCACCTCATCTTTCTATTGTAACGCCATATTCTGTTCACTCTTTTATATTCATGTCATATTTGTAATGTGTGTTATGAAAGAAAGATAAATAAACTTGAAACTTGAAACTTGAAACTTTTTTTCTTTCAAGAATGGATATTGACTGGACTATGGGAGTGATAGAACATATTATTAAGTGGATGTGGTATAAGATGCAAACTATTTTCCACTTTCATTGCAGGTATCTCACGTGATAGGTGGCACAAAAGACGAAAGACGGGAGGAAGATGCCCTCCCATTCGCATGAAGCGAAAGTTTGAGCTGGGTCGCCCACCTGCACTCACCAAGGTAATGACTATCAATAACTGCTAATGCTTACAGTAGCTGAATTTCAGGAAGGAAAAATGTGAGATATCACTTGATAAGCTCAAACTAGAGTAAAGGAGGGGGTAATCGACCAGCTCCAGTTTTCGGCTGATTCGTTGGATGCATGATAAAATCCCTTTAAAATACATCGCATAATAGCATAACACATATCCCACACATACCATACCATGCCAGAGTCACTAAAGAACCACATTTGCAATGGAAAATATATCCTAAAATATCACATTTTAGCGATGTAATCGGCGGTCCCGCTGCGCTACCCAAATCTGAAAAATCGAGTATCTTACATGGTCTGTAAGAAATATGGGTACCATAAAATGAGCTTTATTTCAAGTATTTTTCAGATTTAGAGCCCGATTTTGTGCTAGTCGCAAGCTCAAAAGTATCTCATCGCATGTATTAAATCAATGCAGCCGAACCCCGCGACGGACACACGATATGTCCATCTAATTCAGATTCCAATTTCCGATCACCGCAGTGCTAGTTTTCGACAAGCGAGCACCGGGGAGCTCCGGCGTGGGATACCTGCTCCGCCCGCTTGTGCTATAGATCAGCGCGGAAATGAACGGCGCGCGTGCGCGCTTCCTATGGACTTTGTACATGCAGTCGTAAACTGACTCGCTAGGTCGATAACCGGCTCCAAAACAGTGAAAATTGAAATGAATATTGTCATGGCAATTCGTGATTTTTTTCTGGGATTCTTTTTTTGTTTAAATAATAATAATATTTGCTTCATGATTTGAACAAGAAATGATAATAAATAGGAAGTAAAGGGTCCAAAAAATAGGATTTTGTCTTAAGTGGCCGAAAACCGGCTCCTTTACTCTACTCTTTAAATAAAGTAAATAAGTAGCTGGTAAAAAAAAAAACAGCATTAATAATGATAAAAAAAGAAGCAAATTTAATACCCCAAAGAATTCAATGACTGGGGTAATAGTTTATTTGTAAAGCGCTTAGAGACATTTGTATTAAGTGCTATATAAAAATTAAATATTATTATTTATTATTATTAATTCTCAGTTTTCTTAAAAAATATGAAGAGACAATTCTGTTTAAAATGATTTTTTTTATTTTTTATTTTTACTTGTGATTCAGTTACATGTACCAGTCCACTGGTTTACTGTAAGGCAAGGAAAGGGGAGATGCAGAATGATGTCAATTTTTTTCAATTGTTGACAGGCTGATTGTCGTTTTGACATACATCAGCTATGTGGATTTTTATCTTGTCATAGTTACACTGACTGCAATCTCCCCGTTATCAGTTTATTATTTAATTACCGAAGTCCATATTATTCAACATTCAATCGTTCTGTTATTGTTCACCAAGGAAAGCTTCTTTGAGATTTCTGAATTAAAATTGCCCATAGGCCATAATATACTATTAGTGAGGTAATATATTTTGATTGTTGCCTAAATAAAGAAATACGCCAAGTAGTTGGTTTATGTGTCATCGATAATAATGGGATTATTGAAATTGGTAAAATATAATAAACCTTTTATTTTCATTTTTATTTTTTTAATGACAGCTTGGGGCCAAGAGGATCCATCTTGTTCGATGCATGGGAGGAAACATCAAACGCCGTGCTCTGCGTCTAGACAATGGAAACTTCTCATGGGGATCAGAACGTAAGAAAGTAAACTTAGAAGTAGCCTTCTACATGTACCTCCCAGAATAATGACATTCCTGTGTATTTCATTTCATTTCATCAGTAGAATGTTTGATCTTTTTAGTAGTTCAAATACCTGGTTGGTTTCTCTCACTGACAGAAAAGGTGGAGTTCTGGGGATAGGTGAAAATTAATTTGTGACCATTTTCATTGTTTATTATGCAAGTTTGGAAAAACATCAGAACAAAATGTTCACTGAAAAGCATGGCTCTTCATATTCTAAAAATGACATGTAACAGTTTTAAAAATGAGTACCACATTGTTTTGCCACATGTCTGTGTAGGCCCATATACATCTTTCTGTGTACAGGTGCTTGTTACTTTTACCAAGACTGAGCCAAATTTCTTTAAAATTTGAAGATTCGAGAACCTCTTAGTATGACACCAATGCATAAATGTTACATGATCAACTTTTTCTGATCAATTCCACACTGTTTCTTTCACAATGCAATCGCATGACCAGAACCCAACTTGGTCTTTGAATGTATTCTGGTTTCATGTATTCATAGTGGAAACGCGTTAAAACAATGTCCTTAGGACCATGGAAATGATTTTGTAATATGAGGCTAAAAAACAAAAGAATATAAAGAGCAGGACCAGTAAAATCACCTTGTTATTAGTGCTGTAACATCACGGATATCTCCAATTCCGTTTAACCGCCAGTCAAAACCGGACGGTTTTCGGTTAAACGAAAATTATTCACTTTTGCCAGGGTCGCCGCTGATTAAAAAAGAATAGTAGTATATCACGCACCCAGCACACGCCAGGTATCAAGTTTCTAGGTCATTCATTGCACTCAATCACTCATCGGTGCGGTGCGATGTTATTGCTGCTCTGTTTGTAAATATTAAACCGCCCCTGACAGCTGAATTCTACTACTTATCACTGGTTGTCATTTCTTGTTCAGTTTGTAAATATCCAGCTGAAATCTAAGCCAGATACTACTGCTTATCACTTGGTTGTCATTTCTTGTTCATTTTTTAAATATCCAGCTGAAATCTAAGCTGAATACTACTGCTTATCACTTGGTTGTTATTTCTTGTTCAGTTTGTAAATATCTAGACACCGCGCGCGGTTTCAAAGAATATTACTGAATCATGTTTATTTTTATGACCCGTCACCGACCCGGTACCCTCATGCACACATCTCTCTCTCTCTCTCTCGCACCATGCCCGCGCTGTCTGCATCGTGTCTCATGTAAGCGACCAATCATCGCTCACAATCAGCACCAACTTATCATTATTCATGACCAATCATGCTCTAATCATCACTGCACTATCTCTCTCTCTCTCTCTCGATCTCCCTCGCAAAACTCCATGCATTGTGTGCGCGGACATTATCCATACATCGACTAGCCAATCATATCACTGCTTGTTAATTCAACTTCAGCAGCTGACACAAGGCATATGTAAATGAGTTGGGCATTCACGTGCTTCCTAAGTTCCTATGTTTTCCTTCCAAATATAAAACAGCGAGATGTTGACATGTGATTCGAAGAAAACACATTTACCATACCCCGACCCCTCGCTGATGCTATAACTTTTTTTGACTTTGAAATTCGGACTTCGGAGGTCAGTACATGGATCATCATTTTCATAAGCCTTGTGTCTAACTCTCTAAAGTTAACAATTTTAAATATGGCAATCGTCTCCTATTCATTGAATTACGGTAACAAGAAATATACTGACAGGGAGACAAGACTAGTCAAGCACGCACATTTCAAAGATTAAAATGCCAAACTTCAGAGTTTGGGCTATTTATCTTTGACAAAGAAATAAAACAAATCGACAGTTCGACACACAACAGTACAGGCTATTTACAGGCGCATTATGTTTTGATACAATTATCCCAATACTACGTGTTAGGCAAGGATTATAAATTATAACATGCCTAGTTGTCTACCCCCTTTTTGCAAATGTGGCAAGAAAATGAAATATAACAAATACCGAGCATAATAATTATTACGAAAGAACATTTAGAGATCTGCGCTCAGCAGTTAAGTTTGTGTTGGCTTAATAAACTAGCGTTGTGAAAACTTGTGACCTTGATTCTAATAGTTTATTTTGATAATAATCGATTTTAGTTTGTACTTCAAAAATTTAACTTGTTCATTCGGTGATATCTCATTGCCTAAAAATGACATCACCATGAAAAAACTCAACAAATTTCAAACATTTTAGATGAATAGCGTATATTCAGACTTTGAAAGATAAGTCATAAAATAACATATTTTAATTATTTATAACAGAAACTAGAATCATATCGTACGAACGGGGATAAAAGGGTAAGTGAGGAATAAGTCTGTAACAAATTAACAATAACAAAGTGATGTCATCTTTATCGTTGAGAAGTATACTACAAGAGTAATAAAGAGCATGTAGTTTATGAAATAACATCATCAATTTAAGTCCTTTCTCAGATCAGAGGGATAGACTTTGCGTTATGTTTGAGAAATATCAGCATATTCACATTCTCGGCCAAAAGGCAGCTCCGTTTCTTGGTGACTATATTGCCCGCAGTGGAGAACACCCTCTCGGATGGGACAGATGTTGCCGGTATTGTTAGAAACCTCTTTGCGACATTGCCGAGGAGAGGAAATGACGCTTCGTTCGCTTTCCACCACGCAACTGCGTCAGCAGTAGAGGGGACCACGGGCAGATCAAAGAATGTATGAATTTCTTCCACACTGTCACGCTGTTGTTGCGGAGCTGTAAACCTCCTTCCCGTAATAAGGAAATCAAGCGACGTTGATGGTTGCTCGACATCAGCGTTCTGTTCTTCGTCATCTCTTTCTGGGATAAGCTCATTCAGCTTGTTCTTTACGACGTTTCTCATGGCGCGTGGTAGATAAGTGAGGTTTGAGTAGCGGGGATCCAATGCTGAAGCAAGATGCAAAGCCGATACATCTTCTATCTCGACATCCTCGTCTCGCTCTCGAGCGGATTTGATATGGAACCTAAGGATGAAACGAAAAATTTATGAATTAGAAATGTAATATTTGAGCATCAGCATTATATATGTTGTTGTTGCTTTTTTTAAAAGTCTAGTGCTGTCATTTTATTTGCGATAGCAACATTTTATACAAGTTTTTTTTTTTTTTTTTTTACAATTGATATTAAAAATCGAATAAGTTGTTAATTTTTCCAATGAGATAGTGTCTCTTTTTTCTCTTTCTTTAATTAAATGAAGCATTTGCGTTTTGTTTAATATAATCGGTACCTTCTCTTCAATTGCTCTGATGTTGTTTCCTTGAACTGTCGGACTATTCCGCTATCGGTTTCCTCCACGATGAGGAAGTTGTCAAGTAGTCCCGTGATCATTGGAAGGACTGTTGATGCCGTTGGATGTTCTTCGCTGGAAAGTACCTTTGTTGCTACCTATTAAGTGAAAAAAGACAATGCAATGGTTACAGCTAGACCTAGCCACTAGTTACAAACTTACAACTTACAAATCCAATGCAATAATGTCAGTTTTTCTTTTTTCAAGTTTGCATCTTTGCAAATTGTTCATAAATTCATACTTACGAGCAAATATATTTATGTATATTATATTAATTAACATATTAAAAAATACGATAAAATCGTTAATGAAAAATGGTTATTTACAGTAGAATGGTTAATTGAAATTTCATTGCATATGATTGATGCATTCTAATTATTTCTTATTTGTGAAATTGAATAGAAAATTGTAAGATAATTAAAATATATTTAATGAAAATAATTTCAATTGTACTTACCAAAAAAGGTTCCAGTGTTTTCCCCATGTTGTCGACGATAGACCAGTGCTCGTCCTTGAGTTGCAGGGTTGTCGCATCACGATGAAGCGTCAAACGTTCATCGCTCAGAACGCTTGTGATGGCCCAGCGCTGTTCCGTAACTCGAGCAAACATATCGTACACCGAATTCCATCTCGTTTTGACAGATTGGATTAGGCGATGTTTTGGCAAGTTATGCTGGTCTTGCTTGGCAGTTAGAGCTTGTGATGCCACCACAGAGTGTTTGAAGTGCCCTACCAAGCGACTCACGGCTCCAATGACTCTTTGTAACTGGCCGTTCGAGTTCAAGCCAGCATTCACACAGAGTTGGAGGGTATGAGCTGTGCAAGGAACGTCCGGTGCTCCCACGGCCTCGCCAATCACCCTGACGTTGGCTGCGTTGTCGTGCACAACCCCACACACTTTATTGTTTATCTCCCAGGTTTGAGCAACTTCTCTGAGTTGCGACTTTAGCGCTTGGGAAGTATGCCGCTGTGGGAGTGGGGGATCGTTGTCCTCATCGTTGTCGTCGAGGCTCGCCACAGGGCTGGTGTTGAGAACGAAACTTCTCTTGATCCATTCCTTATCGATGCCGTGTGCGGTCACGGTCATAAATCCTTCCTGGCCCAAGCTTGTCCAGCAGTCGGTCGTTATTGCGATGTGTTCACATCCGCTCATCCAGTGCTTAATTTTAGTCTTCTGCTCTAGAAACTTTAGTTCAAGAATTCTCATCACAGTTTGTCGGCTAGGGATTGTGAAGTCTGGTTCGACGTCGTGCATGAGTGCTCGAAACCCCTCGCCCTCAACAAAGTTGATGGGCAGTCCATCCTTTGCGATCATATCGGCGATGAGATTAGAAATTCGCTGTGCTCTATCCGGGTTACATTGTCGGTTGAATGATGAAAGTCTCGGCTGTCTGTCATCTTCAATGGAGTTGGGATGAGTCTTCATGTGATTTAACATAGCTCCGGTCGACCCTCCCTTATAGCCCAGCACACGATCGCAAATAGTGCATTTCACGGTAGTCGACGAAACTTTCGTAAACACGCGCCAAACTTTGCTTGGCATCTTGACGTAATATTCGAATTCGAAGGCGAGAAAGATATAATTATAACCGTCGTGGACGAACGCAAACGAAAGGATGATAGTGATAGGTAGTTTCAGGAGTAAACTTGACTTATAAACAATATTTATTTTACAAAAAAGGATTACCCCCTTCGAAAATCAGCCGGCGAAATTTTCTGGGTTATCTCAAACTCCTAATTCCAGTTAAAAGCTACATCATTAATCAATATGTTTAATAAATTAATATATACGCTTGGACGATATGACGTCCAAAAAAAAAATGCCAAAACAATCATCGGCATTTTTTAAAACAAAACTCGACACTCGGCTGAATGTTAGATTCTTTATTGACAATCGGAATTAAATGAAAGAATTGTTTCAGGAGTAAACTTGACTAACAATATTATTAAACAAAAAAGGATTACCCTCTTCCAAAATCAGCTGGCGAAATTTCCTGGGTTATCTCAAACTCCTAATTTCAGTTAAAAGCTACATCATTAATCATTATGTTTAATAAATTAATATGTACGCTTGGACGAAATGACGTCCAAAACAAACAACCGCCAAAACAATCGGCAGTTTTTTTAAACAAAAATCGACACTCGGCTGAATGTTAGATTCTTTATTGACAATCGGAATTAAATGAAAGAATTGTTTCAGGAGTAAACTTGACTTACAATATTATTAAACAAAAAAGGATTACCCCCTTCCAAAATCAGCTGGCGAAATACCCTGGGTTATCTCAAACTCCTAACTTCAGTTAACAGTTACATCATTAATCATTTTGTTTAATACATTAAAATTGATATATACTCTTGAACGAAAATTACGAAATGACGTCCGAAAAAAAACAACCGCCAAAATAATCATCGGCAGTTTTTTAAACAAAAATCGACACTCGGCTGATTTATAGATTCTAATCGGAAACGTATTCTTCTCTAAGTTTATTTTCCGACGAACTTCTAAAAAAAGGCCGCCAGTGAAAACACAAGAACAACGGCACTCAAATAAACTATGAAGAGATACTGTCGTCTGCGACTTGTCTGTCGACAAGTTAATGAATTAAAAACAGTTCGGCGGTGTATTATCCGTCCATGCACCCTTTATTTAGTAATTAGGACTTAGAAATTGATCAATGATGAAAATAAGAAAGGCTTCCCCTAGATCCCAATTTCAATAAAATTACTGATCCGGGTTATTTCTAGTCACTAGATAATTCCACATGACAGATTAACACACCAGTAACGTAGCTGTTTACAAAATATGAACGTAACTCAAGTTAAGTATAAATCATAGACAAACACAAACATAAACTTCAAAACTTTATTGAAACTCAACATTTTGCCTGGGTTTATTGATTCATTCTTGAATATGATTCTTCAATAAATACCATAATCACGCTTTTCGTAGTTATCTTGCAAAGTTGTACATAATTTGTAAGTAACTTTAAAAATTAAAATGTGATTTGGAGTCTATGGAGTTTGGGACGGTTACGCATTATCAGTGACTGAAAGTACAGACTATGTATTTCACCCGGCCTCGCCAAATTTGTTGTAATATTGCGCAAGAAAAACTGGGGCATGAGCTGGGGTCATTGTCTCATTGACCTCGTTTAATGGTTGGGACTTTCGATGCGTTGCGCGGTCACGTGAAGCCAGAGTTATTTTTACAATTTAGAGGCTTTTGATTGAACTGTTTTATTTTTAGGCTGGGCACTTAATAGTTTTACGGGTCAACTTCTCAGTTGATTGTGTTGCTCTACAATTCAACATCACAAGTCGGGGCTGACTTATGATGACTATAATGTCGGCAAAACTTGATTTATTAGATTCATAAACAAAGTGAAACCTAGTCAATGTTCCAATGCATGCCCGACAGTTAAGTCTCCGTTTTTGTTTTGTGATTTTGTTTCTAAATGTGTAAATTATTTGTAAATATTGTGATTTCTTTTGATTTTCCAATAAAAACACAAATTTAAAAAAAAAAAAAAAAAAAAAAAAAAAAAAAAAAAAAAAAAATCGGGTAAACGAAACCGTCAAATTCAAACCGGAATCCGCCATGGGCGGTCGGATACCGGACGGTTAAACGTTTGGTTACAGCACTACTTGTTATACATTGTTTTATTAGAGCTTTTTATAATGAGGTTCCACTGTAGCAATCTTTGAGTCTCACATATTGCAGAATGATGCTTATGATTAGTCTTTCTGATGGGTTTAACCCACATGAAGACAATTAAACTTTACTGACTGCATTCCAACTAAGAATTAGTTGTTCATTATTAATAAGAATCTATAATTATGTATTAATTGTCCCTTCTGCTTTACGCTCCACCCTCAGACACTACCCGCAAGACCCGTATCATCGATGTTGTGTACAATGCCAGCAACAACGAGTTGGTGCGTACCAAGACTCTGGTGAAGAATGCCATCGTTCAGATCGACTCCACACCATTCCGTCAGTGGTATGAGGCTCACTATGCCCTGCCTCTTGCCAGGAAGAAGGGAGCTAAGCTGGTGAGTTTTCCCTTCAAAAGAAATATAGTAATTGTACCCTCCGTTTCGGAAAGAAATCAAAATTCATGATATTGGAGAGCAAAGCAGCTCTGTAAAGTTGAGTGGCAGCTGAAAAAAAAACCTTTAAAATTGTGTAAATCACAAAGGTCTGTATTCTACTTATTACAGTTTATCTCGACCCGAGGCCTAAGATCATGTGAAGGTAAACCATAGAGCTCTGTCTAAAGTCCTTTGTTAAACCTGATTTTAAACAACTCAAGCCCAGCATCTGGTTTAAATTTTTGCTAGAATATATGTCTGAGAATATCTCTCTTTTGTAGAAATCAAAGAGAGCGACAATTTAGTCAGCGCTGACTAAATTTAACCAATCACAGGCCTGAAAAATAGTTGGTGACAAAAGATTTAGCTTCTAAATAATGATGAGAATACTTAAACCGGAATCTTAGTGCATTTAACTCTTCTAGTCAGAATAAAAGTTGAACCCACTTCAAATCGTAGACAATCACACTACTAGTCTGATGTCACTACGATTCTAAGCCTATTTAGCTTTTTCTCTTCCAAAAAAGCATGAAATCCGTTGAAATTTGATTTTCTCATTCATATGATTATTTAGATCCTCTCTCATGAATAGTCATGATATAGTCATTTTACATGTTTCAATGTTTGTATCAAATGCTATTGCAAATTCTTCCAAAATCGGATCATAGTCTGATCGTAGAGTGTGCGGTGGGCTTTACATAGAAGCACCTAGTGCACAGACATGCCCTTTTGGCCCATGTGTACAGACCTGCAAAATTGTCTGTCTGGACCATGCAATAAAAAAGAGTGTAGAACCATACATAGCCAATACATTACATAAAAAGAGCTCATTGATGCTCAAGTAGGCATGTTTTGTGATAAATTGCAGAATGATGTTGAATTTAGTCTTTCTGACTGGTTGGTTGTCGTTTTGACATTGGATCAGCCTATTGGAGACAAAGTCATAGTTACACTGACTGCTGTGTTCGCTAATGCTGCTTGTGATGCTAAAGTTGTTTTCAAGAACTTTTTTCTTGCAAAAGTAATGCTTTCCTAGGGGGAATTTTTTTTGTACATCCAAATCGCAGATGATATGTCATGCATTTTCTTTGTTTATGATATTCAATCTAATAATCAAGCATTTATTTTCCTGAATAGACCGAAGATGAGCAGAAGGCTTTGACTGTGTCTGGTTCCAAGAAAGTTGTCAAGAAGTTCGAGGAGCGCAAGAAGACTGCCAAGGTTGCCCAGGCTCTTGAAGAACAGTTCGGTACCGGTCGTCTCCTTGGTAAGTCATTATGCTGAAAAGTGAATATTCATCCCAACAAAACCCCAGTCCTGTAGTCAGTGTGGCAAGAAACTCCAGCTAGAATAGAGTACCGAAGCTGTGACGTCATAATAACCCTGTAAACGATCATCGGATCGGCCGCCGATGATCGGATAAAAAATTTCCGATCGCCGATCAATTGAAATGATCGAGAGAAAAAAAATTGGCAGAATTTTTTTTTTTTTAATGCTGAAATTTTCAAGTTTTTGGCTATTAAATGCTCAAAAAAAAAATCATGGCTGGGATTATTTTGTCATTTGGAGTTGTTGTAGACCATATTTGTTGATATTTATTGCCTTTTCATGACTTTGAAATTAATAATGTTGGTCTAAGAGCAGAGGCAAAACATGAGGGCCGCCATCTTGGATTATAATGTAGGTATTTTTTTTTTTAATGACCAAAATTTTCAAGTTTTTGGCTATCAAATGCCCCCAAAAAAATTCATGGCTGGGATTATTTTGTCATTTAGAGTTGTTGTAGACCATGTTTGTTGATATTTAGTGCCTTTTCATGACTTTGAAATTAATAATATTTGTCTAAGAGCAGGGGCAAAACATACGGGCCGTCATCTTGGATTATAATGCATATCTACATTATAATCCAAGATGGCGGCCCACAAGTTTTGCCTCTGTTCTTAGACCAATATTATTAATTTCAAAGTCATGAAAAGGCACTAAATATCAACAAACATGGTCTACAACAACTCTAAATGACAAAATAATCCCAGCCATGAATTTTTTTAAAGCATTTGATAGCCAAAAATTTGAGAATTTTCGTCATTAAAAAAAAATATATACCTACATTATAATCCAAGATGGCGGCCCGCATGTTTTGCCTCTGCTCTTAGACCAATATTACTAATTTCAAAGTCATGAAAAGGCACCAAATATCAACAAACATGGTCTACAACAACTCCAAATGACAAAATAGTTCCAGCCATTAATTTTTTTTGAGCAATCTGATAGCCCAAACTTGAAAATTTTCGTCATTTAAAGATGAAGTTGAGTTCTGGTCATGCGATTGCATTGTGAAAGAAACGGTGTGGAACCGACCAGAAAAGGTTGATCATCTAGCATATAAGAATTTGTGTGTATTGCAAGGTTCTGGAATCATCAAAATGATAAGAAATTTGGCCAAGTCTTGGTAAAGTTACAAACACTTGCACAGAAAGATGTATATGGGACTACACGAACACGTGGCGTAAAAAAACGGCCCCCCGATTTTTACGATGTTACATGCATATTTAGAATATGAAGGCATTTGAAGAGCCATGCTTTTCAGGGAACATGTCTTAACTGATGTTCTTCCACACTTGCATAGTAAGAATGAGTAATGCTCACAAATTATTTTTCACCTCTTCCCAGAACTCAACCTTCTCTTTAAAAAAAAAAAAAATCGGCCGATTTTTTTTGTCGATCTTCCGATCCGATACCGATCATAGGTGCGAGGGTGTCGCTCCGATCTTCCGATCCGATCAGAGCCCCAACTTACAGGGTTACGTCATAAAAATCTATTTTGAGAATTTCTCGATTTTTTCTTCATATTCCGAAAGAACATCAAAAATAATATCCAAATGTCGAAAACCAATTGAATATGTAAAGTATTGGCTGAGATATGACCATCTGAATGAATATATGTCCTATGGGAACTCAGTGTTATATGCTCTGGCTCCTAACCATTAGGAGCCAGAGCATATAACACTGAGTTCCTATGGGGAGTATATTTATTCAGATGGTCATATCTCAGCCAATACTTAATATATTCAATTGGTTTTCGACATTTGGATATTATTTTTGATGACGTCACACTTCACCACTCTATAGTGCTGATATCTGAAAATGACTTTGACATGTTTATTCTAAGGCTACCTTTTCCTGAAGAATGATGTTAGATGTAGTCCAAAATTGTCATTTTATCTAGAAAGAAAAAAGAATAACAAGTTATAAGCAGTTTTGTTACGAATGTGATCTCAATGTGCATACATGTATACGTGTAAATATGTATGCTCATGTATGCCGAAATAGCTTGTAAATGCATTATCATCAACTACAGACATGTATGTATCTTACAGAGCCAATAAACTGATTATATTTTAGGGTCATGAGGTCAAAGTTCAAAGGGTCATACATGTATATGAAAGATAGCTTGTAATCATGATATTCTGAGGACCTGTTAATGGATTACAATCAAACTTAAATTTTAAAAATTGCTTTTGTTTTGGTAAATGTAAAATCGCTCTATGGCGGGGCATAATTTTGGAATACACGCAGTCGAAGATCCATCTAGTTGTTTTTTCCCCCTTTTTTTCCAGTCTAATCTGTTCTTGTTATAATGTGAATTAGTTGATCAATCCTGAACTTGTTTTTCTTTTCTTCTGTTTTTGTTGTATGTCCACAGCATGCATTGCTTCAAGGCCTGGCCAATGTGGACGTGCTGATGGCTACATCCTGGAAGGAAAGGAGCTTGACTTCTACATGAGGAAGATGCGTGCCAAGAAGGGCAAATAGATCCAAAGCCTTTCTTCCTGAGGGAGTAGTGTAAAAAGTGCAAAAGCGGCGACAACAAAAAAAATCAATAAAAATGACATAAAAAATAAAATGCACCGTATTCTCTTGTTTTATTTTCCATTTTGTCGAAAGTAGCCACCAGACTTTGAATGAATGGAGCGATTCATGGGAGTCTGTTGATTGTGCATGTTGAATACCCCATTTTCTATAGTTCAAATTATACACTGCTATTTATTGTTTCATGAAGACAACCTTACATATGGGGCCAAAATTGGAGAAAGTGATCTGTTTAATATAGTTCACTCTGCATAACTCGAAGTCACACAAATAAAATATTCCCTGAAGTAAAATTTAAAAATGTTGACGTTGTTGACCAAACTTTGTTGTAAAACGTCTTATTTACTCCTTGTTAGTCAAATTTGGACAAGTCAAACTGTATTTTGCCGCTCCCAACACGTTCGGCTTTAGTTCAAGGGAAATCAGAGAAGCAAACTGATGAAAATTTCAATTAAATCCGACTAAATATAAGAAAGTTATGAATTTTTGAAAGTTGTAATCACTTCATATGGGCACTTCAAATTGGC